AGATTTTTAATACTAATTATGTGAGCTTAAACCACGGTCCGTAAAGAGACGGTCACCGCATAAGTCAATTAGCCAATAAAAAACAAATACGTCACCAAATTCCTCAGTTTATCTTCGTTCAACCGTCATCTCTTTCTGACTCATTGCATATCCCATAAGAAAATAAGAGGTAAATTTAAAATTGTCACTTTTCTTGTACCACGCTCCTTTTAACATAAAATAATAAATTTAGTCAGTTATGATTTATGGTTAATTAACAGGTATTTTGAGTCTAAAATGTTACCTTTATATACAAAGTGAATCTCTACATTGGAATTTGGAAATAAAAGGATGAAATATGAAATTGTCTTGGATACACACCACGACCGGTCACCAATTTTGACATTTGGTTACATAATTAACCTAAAATTTGTGTTAATTTTATTACAGATAAATATCCATAAACTCTAATAAAATAAAGAGGGGAAGTGAATATATAAACAATTTAGATCTATCTTAATAGCCTCTTGGCTCCAAAATAAAAACTGTGTACAATTTATATGATCTTATTGTATCTGCTTTTGTCTTTAGTTAAATTTCAAATAACTTACCAAGGTAGTTTATAATAGACTGCAACATAGTTATTTTTGTACGTACCATATTAGTTATCATATTTATCCTTTTACAGTTGATGTTCCGAATTAAAAAATTCCTAAATTTTTACAAGTAAACCATGCCTACAGTAGTTTTTAGTCTTCAAATATTTTTTTTCGGTGTTCGGAGTTAAATGGAGGAATAAAAGGAAAAGAAGAAGAAAAGTTATTCACACAGAACTTTTGACATAACATTTAATTTTAAGAAAAATTGTCAAGTTTACAAAAATATTAAAATCACATTTCGATAGATACTTAAAATTTCCAATTGCTTTTGTAACAATCACATCAATTTGTTATACAGCAATAACAATAAATTTAGTCCTTTCGAAGTGAATACAATCAATTAAACTAAAAATTTAACATATAACCTGTTTTCTTTAAGTCTTTTTCTTGATGAAAAACTTAATATTTCTGCTTGAAGATTGCATTCAAAGTTTGAGTCTTCAAAATGTGTACTACAAATATGTCCAGTTACATGATTAAACAAATCGCGTCTTTTGCACCGTTCCACCCACATCTTTCTAAGCCTTTTATCCTTAGGAAACGCATTAAATAAAGTTTTTTAAATTGTCTTATTTAGCACTATAAAAATTATTATTGCAAATTACAACACTACACCTCACTCCTGGCATTTTTACGTGGTAAATTAATAGTTTATATTTAACACTACATACTATCAAACTTATTAAAAACTAATTCTAAAGGTTAGACATCTTGTGACGTAGGATGAGATAAACCACGCCCATAGTTTCTGTCTATTACTCGACCGTCTTTTTTACGGACCGTGAGCTTAAACTACATTCAGATTATCATCTATTTTAACTGAGAATCTGATAGAAATTTAAAAGACTGTCGACGAAATCAAATTTTTCATTATAACTGTAAGATTTTTTATCTTAACAGTAAAATCAACAATATTACAAAAACAACTTTTATTAACCTCATCACTTAAGAATACGGAACAAATTGTACACTATTTTCGTTATAATGTAAACATTTTCAATGGGAATCTGGTGTTGAAAGTTTTATGTCTGTATTCGTAATTATACTTCTGTTTTATAGGCAAATCATAAAAAAAAATCAGTTCAAGTCAGTTTTTCAACAGATTTTTGCTAATATAATAACGTGTTGAAAGCTTAAATAAAATTACATATTTAAATTAAAAAATGTACGCTAACAGTTACTGTCAGTATCTTACATTCACAAATTATGTGGCGTGTATTTTATTGAATCAGTTCTGTTGCCAAAAATTGAAACCAATAATTCGATTTACCTAAGTCACAATAAAAATTAAATTATTTTACTTGCTCAGCACATAAATATGTAATAGAAATATGTATTATTTAATAATAAAATAGTAATAACACGCACATTGACACTATTGTGATTGTAACTGATAGAGAAAATGGATTTATAGTTTGCAATAGTCGTGATCTTACAAGTATAGATGTCGTAAGACACCTATACTTTAGTAAACTTAGATCTAAACCCGAATATGCCTCTGCTACATGATCTGTGCACAATGGTATCCACATTAGGTAAACTGAAATCTAATCAATGAATTAAATAACTTACACAAATACATTTTTTAATTACCAACACTGTAAAAAAATCGGTGAATCGGTGATTTTTATACGGGATATCAGTTCAAAACATACTTAAAATGTCGTACTCATTTCTCTTTAACTTAACGTCTATGCAAATTCTTGCGGAAAACGATACATCTTTGTAGCATTATAATCTCACCTGGGGAATAGTTTCAAGATAAAGAAAGGGGAGAACTAGCAGATACGGTGTCTCTCCTGAAGGGTGAAGGGGAAATTTATTAATTAAAGATTATGACGCCAAAGCTTTAATTAAACCATTTTAGGCAAAGTTACTGAAATTTTAGGTGGATATACTGACATCCTCAGGCAAATTCCTTACCCGCAATTGTTATTTTAAAATTTGAAAGGGAAAGCCAGTTTAATTATCATCTGAATCGATGAAATTACTGAGGCTGGAGCTGTATTTGAATTGACATGATACATTTTTCAGATTCTGTTTACAGGAGAGTTCACAATGTTTAATGAAAACTTTCAAAAGTAGCGAAAAACGAACCAGACTCACCGGAAATCGGACAAAGCCATTGCATTAGACCAAAATGCAAGAAAAGACAGTAAGTAAATGTCAAGCCAATAATTCCAAGATTGTCGAAGTGAACTTAATCCGGCGTATCAGCTTATAGAGTTTTCTTTGTTGGAACTAGCCATCTGTTACCGTTAAATAGCCTTCTTTCTGTTAAGTCAATAATTTTATTTTGCTGGGAGTAATTCATAATTCAAGTTGCTCCCGAGGTAGCAGCCAACTGTTGACTCTGTATAAGTAATTGTGTTTACATTTAATATCGTTATTGATTTAATCAGTACCTACTTAGTTCCTGGTATCGATCCGGAGCTGTAGGAATTTTTGCATTTTAGAATATTTATTAAGGATTTCGTAAGTAAAGGACATAGATTGAAGAGAATGGTTCCTTGCGTCAACCGGAGTTTACTTGTCAAGAGATCTTACAATAAATTTTAAATCAAGGCTTGTTCATGTTAGAACGAATGCGATATACTTTTACGAAACAGCAAAAATAGCGTTTGTACGTATATAATTCCTATATGAACCAATAATTACAGAAAGATTATGGGGAAGTTTTACCAAATTTTATTTTTTTTTGTGGTTCTGTATTCCTCTGTTTTTAAGACACCAGGTAGTAAAACTTTATGGCATTTTCATATAATTGACAACTGAAGGAACCTCTACTTTTATCGTGAGTGTTATTTTTATTAAAGCAGTGATATCTTACAAAGCAACGCTTGAATGATATACGTTATCTTTTACTTATTTACCTACCCACACTTCTAGAAAGTTTTTCTAAGACGAACGCCCTACGAGAGATATATTATTCTCATCGGGGTATATTTATGTAAACAAAAGTCGGGCGAGACGTACTTATGTGGGTATAAAAATGAGGCCGTTTCCATGATTTATCCACAGCGTTAAAAGGAAGTTTATTAGCAAAAAAGGAGATCTTGAGGCCCTTCCCGGAGCATTCCCAACGCAACCGCTTCTGCTTAGAGAGCGACAAATATAAATTGAGGCTAACAGTCTTGTTTTTATACGAATTTGTTAAGGAAAATAGCCCTATTCACACTGGTGGAATCCTAAATAAAAATAACTTTCCTTTTAATGTTATATTATCCGAAATAGAAGGAGAAGAAGGGGAGACAAAAGTGCTTTGGAGAAGTAGGTATGAAATATATAAAGCGGCAAAAATTCACTTTTCCTGGGTGAGTTCCGACAGGAAAAGCCATCGGAATAAATCTATAACGTGCATTTATCATTTCGAAGCCGCTTAGAGACCTGTGGGCCATCACATCACATTTTGAAAGGTTTTTATGGATACCTATAGGCTACTCATTTTCAGGGAGAATTGCTGAAATTCAAAATATGTTTCGTTGGAAATATTTCATACTGAAAGGTATATCCAGTGTTCCTAAATATTTTAAAACGTTGTTTTATTCATTTATCAATTAATGAAATTAATACCCTGTTTCGTATTTAACATCGCAGGTCCTAAAAAATAAACAGTACATGAATTTTATGCTACTCAAAAACATAATTTCTTAAATAGAGAAAAACGGAAAAAATATATAAGGTGCTCCAATAAAAATTAACTGTCTGAATATTTTATAAATGTTCTAAACATTGGTTTAAACTTTACAAATAATTCAGATAAAATCTGTAGTAACATATAAAAGTGGGTTTACTTTCAGCATCATATAGGAATGTTTATTTAAAGATAGATTTCACTTTATTGTGTATATTTTTGTTTCCTTTGTAAAACAAAACGTGTTGTTTTTAAATAATGGCTAGGCTGAAATTAAAATCTACATAACATTTCCGTGCCAATTTAAAAACAGTTTTAATTTTATCGCTTGAATAAAAGCATCATATATTTAGTAGCGACTATTTAGATCAAATGGAACCACCAGCTCTCAGTAAACTGTGTTTTCGAACTCCAATTAATTATGCCCAACAATAAACCAAAATACGACGTTTAAAAATAGCCCCAGTGATGGCCAGTTATGAGAGGAATGAGACAGTCTACGCTTCGCGTCGCGACGCCTCAGAAACCGCGTCCGGTGTAAATGTAAATATTTCTAACGAATAAACACACGAATTATGTTTACTAGATCTTTTTGCTCGTTATCTTTATTAGATCTTTTCTTTATGTGTTCTAGTCCGGAAGTAGTATCTTGAAGTATTGATTAAAACAATGTTAGTTAAAGTGTTTATAAATGTATAGATATGTGTTGTTAATACTGGTTATTCGAAATGGCAATGATTTGGCTGCTAATTTTGTTGCCAGTGATTCTGGTCCTTCCTAGTGCGGAGTCCAAAAAAGTTATACCCGTTGGTATGTCCTATATAGTGATCGTAACGTACCTGCTAAAGATTTTATTGAAACATTACAATTTTTGTGTTGAAGATGATGTAGTTTTTCTGTTTTTGTGTGCCAAATCGTAATTTCAGCATCTTGATCACAATACGGATGAAAATATACGTATATTAATTCTTTTTTAACTTACTTTTAAATCGCAATAAAACATGAATTTTATAATAAATATTTATAGGTGTATTAATTGTTAATAAACAAATAAGAATCAAATATTACAGGCTTATTACAAATGTATTCCATATATTTCAATTATTTATGCACAAAAATAAATACTAATATTTTTTATGTAAATACGTAGCAATGGTTTTTTTATTTTAAATTTTATTTTGAGGCGCTATTAAAATCTTTTGGGTCAAATATAAAATATTATTTTATTTTGACAGCGGTTTAAGTATTCCTGGTAAATATTCAGGTATTTACTAAAATAAGGTTCTCATTCTTGTTTCAACAACAGACAAAATCCTTGGAAATAAGACAAGCATTTTACTGGCAAATATGAGTAGGAAATATTCCCAAAGGAGTTTACGACTCTTTGAGGAAAACGATATCAGTGAAAAAGCTTTTTTATTTATATTTCTAAGGTTTCTTATAAAAACAAGGTAGCTGTTGACGTCACGCAACATTTTTTTATTACACACTTGAAATGTAATTTTGCTATAGTCTGATATTGTGTTGTTACTGTCTAGTCCAGCAAACATCAGCAGCAACTACTTCTTTTTGTGTTTCTTCAATATATTTATAGAATTTCTTAAATTTCAAGTCAAAAATTTCTAAAAATTAATTTATATCATACTTTATGCAGATTAAGTATATAGAAACAACTTGATGGATTATACACATCCTCATATTTATTAACTTTTATTTATTTAGGGTCCCTTGTGACAGTTCTGAAAAATGAAACAAATCCACGGCACGCCAGAGCTTAAAGAATCGATAAGGGACTGTTTTGCATAATCAAATTTTCTCGAATTTAAAATTTAATCAAATGGAATTTCATAGAATGTTACAGTACGAGGTGGTTTGACAGCATTAAATAATTGCCACATTATTTGCACTAATTGATTTAAAATCACCGAATTTCACACAATTGCTAGTACAACACCAATTACACGCATTGTCATAAATTACTTTAGGTGCTAAAAACTGAAAATAAATTGAAAATCTCTTATGCGTTGTGAATTCATAATTTTCTCGTACTCATAATTTAAAAATAAATTGAGTATTAATTCCTGGCAATTAAAATGAATGTATGAATATTATAAATTAGCCGTAAATTGAATGACATGCTTGGGTTTGCATTTGCATAGCAATGCCGGTTGGTTCATATTTTTTGGGAAATATTACCAGATGATGCCAGCAATAAATTGTTTAAAGCAAAAAGTTCTATAGTAATATGCGTTGTAGTTTGCTACGTTTGCGAAATACATGTTGAAATTAAAATAAAATATCACCATTACATATTTCTGAGGGTGTCTGACATAGACCTTGGGCCAGTAATTAGGAATATAAATTTCCTAAAAAGACACTTAAAAGTAAAAGTTAAACAGTAAATAACACACGTTTTGTCAATGAAAACTAAAGAATTATGATAACCTAAAATTATATAGACATTATCATGAAAAAGCATTTATCTTTCCTCCACAGATCACGCATTTCTTTGCACCTATTCAATTAAAGGAAGAATATTACTTGACTTGGAATAAATAATAATGAGAAACAATTTTTAATTATAAACTTATAAAGGGTCCTTATTTATTAATTACTTCCCATTACCGGAACCAGTGAATTTCCAGAATAAGTTTCCATAAGACTGTATCCCGCCGAGCTCTCAACAAACATAATTTTAATTGCTTTCTAGAAATTCATGGTTGTTAAAAGTTTGCATATTTCGCTGCTGCAATTTTAGCTATTTAAAATTTAATCTCCTAACCGGGATTGTGTTCTTTTATTTATAAGCGACAGCTCTGAAATATTGTGTTTTGTTTTAATTGTTAATAACTGTCATTATCCAGACCGGCTAGAAGAAGATAACAGAACTTTTCTCTCTCTATACTTTCAGTTATAGTTAAGTGCATTTCCGGAACACTGTGTTATAAACAAGTTGGAGATGGTGGTAAGGGTATTCCAGACTAATGCGTTCTGATTTAATAAAGAATAATCAGTTCTAAGAATTTTTTCTTTTTATAAGATTTTAGTTTTCTGCTGTTTGTTGCCAATTGGCACATACTGTCTAGATTTTTTCGGTGAAACATTCTTTATTATATAGTCAACAAGTTTTCATGAAATAAAAATGTGAATGAGAAGAAATGTGGGTGTCACCGCAGGGAGAATACAGACCCGATTAGAAATGAGCAAAAACGGTTTATATAAACTTTAACTTGCCTGGCACATTTGCAATGAAAGCTTCTGCTACTAATACTTTACTTACTTAGACATTTTTACCAGAGTTCTGAATCGGGACGAATTTTCACTATACGAGTCTTACATCCATTCACTCTCTAATTCCCGCATAAATTCAGGATCAATACTACTTAAAACTATTTTGCACGTTTTTTACAACAGAAATGTGCTGTTAAAGTTTGTGCCCTTCTTCATGAAACACCCTATATGTTGCGTTTTTATGAAAGCAGGAGCAAAACACTGCCGTATTGGTATTATAATAATTCTCTTTTGTTTTAGCAATTTTCGTCGATGATGACGACCATTTTGAGGTGTCGACTGTGGCCATTGCTAGTGCAATGCGTAGGGTCAATTTAGTTCAAATGACTAACTATTTTCTTAAGCCATACATATACGAGGCTCATAGAAAAGATATTCTTAACATAGAAGAATTAGGTGAGTGTAAAATAAACTTTTTTAACAAAAAAAAGTACAAGTTCGCAAATATATTTGTTTATGTTATTAGTAAAAGGTGAGAGACCGCGTTTTGCACATTTCGTTATCTACTCGTATTTGCTTAGTAAGAAAATATACTAAAAAATAGACATGGCGTGCCAAATTGAACTTGGCAATGTACCTATCTTCCGATATCAATTGCCAACAATAGTAAAGAATGAACCAGATTTATTTAAAAAAAAAGTGTAACGGGCCTATACAAGATCAACTCAAAAAAAATAGATTTTTTTTTATTTTGAATCACTTTTTATAATTCCTGGGTCAAGAGAACAATTTGTTCCCGTTTTAAATGTTAGCCTAACTTTTAACATTGTCGAAATGAAGAACTTAATAACTTTTTCCATAGATACTTCATATCAGTTCCTATCCATATAATAGCAAATCGTATTTTAGGATTAGAGTGAAATATAAAGACTTTATTTCCTATATATGTGCATTTCGCATCCAGAAATTTAATCTAGACTCCGACGTTCACTCGTATTTTCCAGGACGAAAATAATCCTGTAAATGCGCTCCCCTTGACGTTTTCCGAGAATGAGCGATATTTCATAAGTCTGTCGCAAAAATTCCCCTTTAATTTCTCGTCCTGCATAAGAAGTTGGAATGCAGCATCATCCTAGATTGCCCTTTATCTGAGCAAAGTGTAAAAATGGAGTCTATTACACACGTAGTTGTAATAATTCAACTCTGCTGTAGAGTTTAAGCTCTACTTGGTCTTTTCTGCCAAAGCTTGTAATGCTTGCTGACTGATATAATAAAAAGAATATACGAGTACTATTTAGTTCATCTGAATAGTGTATATTATTCTGAAGCGTCATTTTGGAATTATTCGCACTTTTGCACTCACTGTGCTCTTATCATATCTTGAGGGGTTGAAAATATTCTCAATTCGCACTGAGTGTAAAAGTACAAATTTGTTGTCCTTTTTCCTCGAAACTATACTAAACAGTATCGGTTGATCCGATGCATATCCTCTATATTAGTAGTAATTGTAACAAAACAGGAATTGAAGCGTTCATGTCTGGATATTCGCGCATTAATATTCCACCCTCGCTACATGTTAAAGAGCAGAGGGAACTTCATAATCCCGACAAGCCTGAGTGACGGCGAATTAATCATTGTTTTACAATTTTCAGTGAGCGATTTAATGAAGAAAGGCATAGCGGCAATATTTGGGCCCGAGTCACCTGAGATTAATGAAATAATTCAATCAGTGTCTACCACCCTGCAAATTCCACAATTTCAGACGTTCTGGAATCCCAAATTGTCCTCATATTCCGGCAGGCTGCCACCCGACGAGTCTATTCAGATTTTCAACTTGTACCCCAGTCCGCAGACCCTCTCCAAAGCGTTAGCGACTCTGTTGAACATAAACGCTTGGAGTACCTTCACTGTGATCTACGAGGACGACGAGGGACTCCTCAGGCTCCAGGAGGCCCTAAAGCAGCGGAAGCCGAAGGATCCTGCTATATCTTTCAGAAAGCTGGGACCCAGCGATAATCACAGGTTGGTTATGTTTACGTCTTTTATAGACCTTTAAACATAAATTGCTTATTTGAGGAAAAATAAGGTATTGTAAAAAAAATTACATGAAAATGCATATTATAAGCATTAAGATGAAGCTGTAACTGCCATTGGTTTTATAAACTACGCCTTATATCTGGTACAACAGCCTGCAAAAAGTATAAAAATACCTAGTGATGTCTTACATTAAATAATAACTACAGAAGTAGGAGTAAATAAATAACTATAACAACAAAAGGAAACAACGCTAATGAACTTCATCATTACATTATTTTATTTGATACCTGATATGAATACTGGTAACAGCAAGTTGTGGCAATCTGATGATATTCTGAAGTATCAAATTCACAATTACTTTTCATTCCATTGATTCTGAGACATCCTGTGTATTTCCTTTTCGAAGTTTGCTGTGTTACTTATTTATTACGGCAGATTTTAGTTCCCGAAATGAACACACGCTTCCCGAAAAGCGTTATTTCCTCAATATTGTCCGTACAAAGCACTCTAGACGAAAAAGTCTTGTAACACAGATTGTTTTAAAACGGGCTTTAAATATAGAAGAACCTCGTAGAACCCTTGGACTTTGTCGAGTGATTTACGATAAGAAAAATTTATTACCTAGTTGTGGTAGACCCAGGGAAAGAATGTGGAAGTGAAATTTTAAATCTTTCCCCGCTGAGGAATTTTTGCAAATGGGTATGAATTTAAATATTGGGTAATTTATTTATCCAGAGCTTATATTTTATTTCCTTAATTACAGTTCACAAGGATATATCCTTGTCAATATTTTATTCAGAATAAAGGGATAAAAAATACAATATAGAATTGATTGATTGTTCAAGATTTTTCAGTGGTCAAATTAATTATTCATAGATATTATGTTGTAATTGTATTGTTGTGGATCAGTATCTTTAAAACACTGCACATTATTGATTACCTGTTACATTGATTGATAATTAAATTGCTTATTAATGATTGTTGTAATTTATGATTTTGTTAAAACAAATAAACTGGTCAACTATTCTATCATATATAATTCACTTTATATCATTTTACGTTCTGTAGACAAAAAACTGTTGTTTTGACACCTAATAAATATCACGTAAAAATTAACTTTTAATGGTAGTTTTCGAAAAAATTATATTTTAGTTTTGTTTGGCAGACCTGCCAAATAGCTTCTATTCTGCACTGTAACTGATAGTACCACTACTGGCACATAGATGACGTTGTTGTGTCAAAACATTTTTTCAATCTTGAAAACCTAGTGCATATGAAAGGGTTCCAATTCCACAATTTTTGCGGTATTCATTTTTTCTGCAAATATAATAGATTTCTATTTTAAGTTCAATATGTGAAGAATTCAAATATTAATTTAAAAAAAACGTTCACCAAAAGATCATTTTTATGAAAAAATTAATTTTGCCTAACCAAAAATCCTACATTGAAAAAAAACGGGCAAATACAAAAAAATAAATCAGAAAAGATGAATTGAAAAAAGCGCCCGGCCTTTAATTAAAAAATATTTATTTTAATTTAAAAATAGTCATAAAAAACGTCATGGGGGTCAACCCTTTTCTAATAAATACACTGTTTGAAATAAATATAAATACGTTCTTACATTACATTTCACATTCATATTTATCAAACGACATTTTATTGTTTCATTAACGAAATACGCTTCTCTGTTTCAAAACACAAATTGAATAAAATAAATCCCTAAATAGAGTTGATCCTACTAACGATGAACTTATTAAACAGTTTAATATGTGTATGTTGTTCGAAATGAATCATTTCGAATATTTATTACAATTTTAATAATAAAGTAGGTACTTCAATTTGTCTATTTTAGTGAATAGGTAATTTGTTTAATTTAATTTATATATTCAAATTGACAAGCATGTTTTGTTAATGAAACAATCAAATCAAAAATAAAAGATATGTGAAATCTAATGTAAAAATGTCTTTGTATTTATTTCAGAGTATGTATAAACAGTATACAGGGTGATTCCAATGGCGATCTAATATTTTCCTTAACTGTTTTATTTGATATACTTGATGTACCATAAATCAGTTAATACTGACTACCAATCGGCAATTGATTTTAATAAAAAGCAAAGCATTTTCCTTAATTAAAAGATATTGAATTAAAAATATCTCGAAATTTAAGTTTTCAAGAACAATGTAACCTACAAAATTATTTCTAGGATCGAATAATGTTTTGGCCAGCGCCATCTATGTCCTAGTGTTGGTAGTAACCGTTATAGAGGAAAATTGAAGCTTTTTGCAACTCTATCAAACTGTTTACAAAACTTCCCTCCTTTTTCCCTTCCAGAGCAAATAACGACATGAGTTTTAATTGAGACATCTACAGAAAAATACATAATTTTTGAAGACATTTGTTATATTCTCGTATTACATGCACAAATAAATATATTTCTGATCGAAGATATTTTTATCTATGAAAGTTCACTCTATGCTTTTCTCATTTAAAATTTGTTAAAAAGTTTTTTAATCAAATATGTTTCATTCTTAAACTTCCGCGATTTAAGCGTTGTCGAAACTATTTATTAATTTACATAAAACGTACAACGTTCCATACCTTCCATTAACTTTTCTGATGATTTATGAGGCGATAAATTTACTTACATCCGATGAACTGTTTTTGTTCTACTGCCAATTTGCGCCGCTATAGTACGGGCCGTACTGTTGAAGCCAAATTAAATGATATATAATGTAAATTAATTAGAAGCCGGCTCGAATTGCCAGCAGACAAGAAACGTCAGTTAACTTCGGCCAACATGCGGACAATACCGGAGCTGAGCTGAATTTTTAAGTAGCAGCGAGATGCTGAAGTTGGGGCTCAATCTAAGCTCTATGCATAGAATTACGCTGAAAAATTGTGTTTCCTTTGCTGGGATGTTATTTATCTATTAAACCTTGATGAATATGTGACAGTTGTCAGCGTTATTTTTAACAATAAAAATTGAATTAATTAAAAATAATTAAAAAGCTTCTTTAATTATACGAAACTGTAATTTTACTAAAGAATTACTTTTAGCAGTTAAATGTATTACCTCAAAATAGGACAATGAATATATATTTAAAAAAATAATTGAGAAAAATATTGTACACCTCCAAAAATCTTCATCATTGGTTTACTATTGGTCTGCTGTGTACAACTCCAATATTTTGGGTGAAGTTTGTATCACTTTTTATGCCATTTTGAATTATATTTTTATCAGTAAGTGTCGTCGTGGAAATATCAAGTCTCAAAAGCTTATAAAAATTTTCTTCAACGTACGGAAAATAGCATCCAATCAGATCCAACAAAACTTTGGTTATTCATTCGTACTAAACAAGTTTACTTTAGCTTTCCTGGGACTTTGATAGATTATTAACATATGAGAATCCTCAATCAACAGCAAATGGTTTGGCCAAGTATTTTAATAGTGTGCATTTTTCGTCAAACATAACTTTGCTAGATGATAGGAATAGGGAATTATGTAACATTTCAACAAGTATTTCAGTTCCTTTAAAATCTGCACAGGATATTATAAATTCCTAAAAAAAAAAATTGAAAAATAAATTAAACTGATATTTTGTTCCAACTATACCCGACGCGACTCTGTGTGATTATGGGATGGTTTTAGATCTCAGTTGCCAGTCAATTAGTATCATTTCCATAGTTATGACAGAGAACACTATATCAACAGTGTTCTCTGGTTAAGATACGAGCTGTCATTTATTATTATTAAAAAACTGTCAATTTGTTTTTATGTTATATGTATTCATTACCTTGATAAATAAATATATACTAAAAAATACAGTCCACTCCACACGTTACAAATTTAGATACCCCAATCTTTTTTAATTGGTGCTTTGATAACTTTTTATGAATTTTCTGTGTCAATGGCTTGGAAATAAATAACTATTTTTTTTTCTTATGAAAATAATGGAATTAGTGGATGTATCATAATAATGTTGTATTGATGGCCTCTTGTTTTATATGTAGGTATATACAGAAATAAATAATAGGTTTATCTTTCAGGTCAGTGTTGAAAGAAATTAAAAACACAGGAGTACTAAATTTCATCCTCGACTGCAAGACAGACCATATATTGGATATTTTAGGAGAAGCCAGAGAACATAAATTGTTATCAGAATATCACAGCTATATACTGACGAACTTGGTAAGTTTTTATGAGTTTAGGAAACATACCAAATACATTTGTTTCTGCAAAATTAAACTTGTTCAGAAGGCATATATTATGACCCACGTGCATGAATATATATTTTTCGATATTTTGATATTCGTTGAGTGTTGACATGTTTTAGTTGCTTTTGCTAAATATTATATTTTTAAATGTTTCTGTAAGTATTGCATAAGTTTTCTCAAAAGAAATCAATTCTGTTCCATGTTTTTTCCAACAAGAAATACACAGTCAATGTTATTTGAACAACAAACCATTTCTGATATGTAATTTTTTTAATAATTTAAAATAAGCCAGCCACATAGTTGACCATACCGATAACAACAAGTACAATTTTAAATACAATGTTACTCTCAAAAGTGACAAAAAGCAAAGAAAACGGAATAAACCAGCTCCTCCGCCAAAAACTTGATTGTGAATTTGTTTACAGCATGTGTTATACTTAATAGCTAATTTTGAAAGCGATCTTAAATTCAGAAATACGATTTATTATCATTATCTTTCAAATTACATTTGTTCCAGGACACGCATACGTTGGACTGGTCCAGCTTCAAAGACATTAAAAGCAATATAACAAGCTTCCGACTGATAAATACTACAAGCCATATCACCGGTACAGTGGTAGAATGGAACATGTTATTGAATTATAGTATACTGGACACGGTACGAAGCCCCGTTATTCAGAAGGAATTAGATAGATTCCGTATTCGATATCCTTACCCTGCTATCAAGGCAGAAGCAGTTAGGGTGAGTATACGTGTGCCGGGATGTTTTAATTACACACTGTTAGATGTCAGTTAGGTTATAATATGCTTACATCTCACCAATTCTCACAAAATTATATTGAAAATATGCAGTGAAAGCTTTTTGTTCCACATGGTTAGGGAGTAACTTTTTCTCTCTGTTCATGCTCTATTCTGACCATGTAATTTAAGAATTGACTGACCCTCTCCCAAATATTACTTAAATTTAATAATTATTTAGCAATATTTTCTCATACTTAGTTTTTAATTTGATATTTATTAAGTGATAATACAAACCACTTATATATAATTAGACGCCAGTAATATTTGTGAAAAATTGTTGCACTGGCAACCATTGCATTTAGCTGGGTTACAGATGCTTTAAAACTTCTGTCGTCCTTATCGTCGTATTCCTGTTTTCACAGCAAACTTCCTAGTATGTTTTGCCGGTAGTTTTCCCCAAATTTTAGGGTATTTACTCACCCTTAGATCCTTGTCACAAAATTAATGTGGGATAAGTCCCTAATTACACAAAGCTAACTTCCATTTGTGTTAGTTTCTAATCCCTAATTTACTTCAAACATTAGAACCGTCGAAACAAAGAAATTCTCACCTAAAAACTATTTTTATTTGAGTTCTAGTGACTCCAACACTTTTAAATATTGGATTTGATTTGAATATCTAAATGTCACATTTTTTCCCCAAATATATCAAATGTTATTAAAAATTGATTAAAATATTTTACGCAATTTACTTAATTTTTCAATAATTTAGTTATATTATATTTTATTTTTATTTCACAATTGTCACTTATGTAAAAAAATATATATATTCTAAAAAAGGACTACAATTTACCCTTTTATTTTATTATGATAAACAAAACTAAGTGTGATAAATAGTTGATTGTCATTTTTAAGAGTCCGTCGACGTATTTAGTATATTTTAAAACTAGCGCAAACTAGACAGCAAACGAATTTCATTGCAACACACAAATAAAAATATTGTGAGGAATAACATTCTTTAAAGTCCCCCACAGCACTTTTGTATTATTTGTTTTAACATAGCTGTCTACTTGTAATCTATGTGGACTGGTGTCTTGCTGGATGTCTCTGGTAAAATAAAACGTGGAATTAAATTTTTCATACGAAGCGTGCACTATTTTTCTTCTCTATTTCAGGTTATTTTACCACAGCACAGTTGACCTTAGAATTATGTATAATGTTACGTGTTTTAATATAATGAGAATTTGTTATTCTAATTATTTAAATACAAACCAGTCTCTAAATTGTACAATGTAACTAAAATTGATACCTACTACTGAAATATTGTCCAATACACTGAAACAAATCTATTGCCTTCAGTTTCTTGTTGAATTTATTAATGCTATAAAAAAAATTAAATATAATAATGTTGTGCTTCCGAAATTTAATAATATATTTGTATAACTTCATACTTGCGAAATAGAAGAACACTTTGTAGATAAAGTAGTATGTCTTATTTTAGCAATATTTTTTAAATTACTTTAGTTTTTGGTTCAGCCTTTATGCGGTATCATAAACCATTGCTTTATACCATCGCCCGCTTAAAAACTTTCTGATGTAGGCTCTAAATTGCAGAATTATTATCCTTTTCATGCTTTGGGTTCCACTTAGCTGAATGTACGGGAATTCCCTCTTTAAAGCAAATTTCATAAAACTCTTTTCTTTGTTCAACGGTAAAATATTCCACTTTTTAGTACGCATTACTTATGTACGTCGGTTTTACGGCGTACGAATTCAGCAGGGAATGTTTTGTAAAACATTTTTAACAAACGTAAATTGTGTACATCAACTTTTATTTGCGGACGGCGCAAGTTTAATGAATACTGCAAATAAAAAAATTTACCTAGATTAAAGTCACACTCACATCGTTATATTGCTTCAGTTTATGTGTTTGATATTGTATTAATATATTTACTATAGCCCACCATATCAAGCTTTCTATACCTAATGTAATTGGTATAGTATTTTTGTATTTATATTGTGCACAATTTACGGATAGTTGCTTATTAACCACGCCACTGTCAACGATCCTACGATTAGGACTACCAGTCCAAGTGACAAAATAAAATATTATTAGGGTTGAGGGCGCGTATTCGGCCGACTTTATTGAGTAAAACGAGCCGGATAACGTATGTTATATATCGTCCGGGTGTCCCAAGTTAATTTCGGTCGATTAGAGTCACGATTCCGAACGGACAGAACAGTGCCGCCATCAATCACGCCTATATCGAGGGACGAAACAAAGGGTCCAATACAAATCATTGTTTCGGCCGTAATAAGCCCTTAGGTGCTGTAAATGCGGGTCGATCGGTAATATTTAACGGGGTTCGCAAACGTTCTACCGGGGCTAAGCACGCGGGTCTTCCCACTAAGAGGAAGTCTAAGGATAAATTGTTTACAGGAAGGTTTCAATGAAAAAATAAATATTCCGAGCACATACTTACCAGCAATTTTTTTTCAGATAACCTTAAAACTTCGTTTCTGACTTTATCATGACAATAAACCTTTCAAATTGTTTCTCTTTGTACATTTTTCGTAATCACTTTTTCATATAACAATTTGGTTCAATTGTTATTAAAAATTCTATTTATACTCCAATAGAAACAAAGCATATTTCGTTTTCAAGCAAAACAGCTTGTAATTTTACAATTATTATTTACTAACACATAATTTAGCAAAAAAAAAACAAATTATCATACTCATTTCGATTTTCCTGGCCCTGCAAATTGCGAACAGCAGTTTCTCATTGAATTCATCTAATTTAATGCTTCTCAAATAAGGATAATCTCAGGAACTAAAATTTAATAAATGGCGCAATTTAGACAATGAGAGAAATCTGGGATGAGTGCTATTAAACTTTTTGACGATAATCTCAAATATTTGTTCGTGAAAAAATATTTCTCAATATTAAAACGAATTAATTATATTTTATAAATCAAATATTTGATGACAGATTTAATCAGATTTGATAGAAAATGAACGAGATAAGATAAATAAAATATATCAGAAATATATAGAAAAGAATCCCTACCTTCGTCATAAAACAAGAACATAGGTGACTTGTTCTATGTTAAAATGTAATATTTTCACACAAGTACTAGTTGTGGGTACACATGTCGCAAGTGGCCCATTTTTAAGTATTACGTCAAGAGCGCCGCCGGACGCACCAACCTTCCAGGAAGGGTCTACGGCGCCGGCGACCAGATGCGTACTGATATACCTACGACCGACTCACACACAGGGACTCTCCAACGAACACTCACCCCGTTAACATGTCTTTTTCTATACAACTTAGTTTTCAATAAAATACTTTATTATTACCGTTGAGAGAGCGTTTTATTCTTGCTGTACAGCGAAAGCAACCCTCATAGTATTGGCGTCCTGGTCGGGAAGACTAAACTTTCGATAGAGGCAAATTTACTTAATTCAACTTATTTTTAACTTTCGACTCAATGGTATGTATATTTTATGTTATTTCGTTAAAAACACCTGGATTTTTTTCATTTTGACTACAGATGAGTACAAGAATGTACTAACTGGAAAATTGCTTTTAGATAAAATATCAAAATTAATTGTTTATATTATATATATTTGCCTATTAAATAATATTATTAAAAAGTTAATAGAACACTATAAAATAAAATCACTCAAATTCATTCAATTTTAGTTAATAATAAATAATGTATCAATTCCTATCCAAACCAGATTGAGTGAAATTTTCACTCTATTAATATGAGTACGACTAAAATTTTATGAGTGAAACTATTACAACAGAAGTGAGTAAATTTTACTGAAATCTGAGTTTCTCCTATCAAGTGAGTGACTTTTAAGTATATCCTGAGTATGTAAAACCAATTAAGAGTTAAATTTTTCTCTAATATGATTATTGAGTAATTTTGTACTTTGATATCCCCAAAGGGGGCGACGCCACTGCATTTATACATAATTTTCACCAAAATAACCTGATTAACGGACAATGTCCAGTACTACACACCATACACTACGCCACGAGATGGGAATAGACAAAGACAACGCACGACAACCATAGAACGGGGTGGTGTCACTCAATAATGAGGACATTTACTTTGATTTACCTACAAGTGCACCAGAATTTATTTAACGGGTACCTATATTTGAATGAAAGTACTAACACAAATGAGTAAAATTATCAAAATGTTCAATATTGAGTGAAAATGTACTCAATAATTTCACTCAATGGATTTACCGATTTTTTTACAGTGAGGGATCATAAGATTTTCTTTTAAATTCAATCCATAGGTATAACTAAACATATAATTATATATTGTTCAAGGGAAATTATTAAATTACAAACCTATTAACGTATCTAGGCCCAGAAATGTTAGTATAGGTATGTTTTAATTATGCACTTATACCATATATCACAATGATGTCTTTGTATTTGAAATTACTGCTTCAATTCAAATTATATTGTGAACAGCAAAATGGCTCTCTAAACATTGCAACTTGTATGGATATGTGTAGCAGGTACATTAGACTATGAAACCTAACAATTATATTCTCTATGCCACGACACAGCCCCTCTGAGTAGAGCTTTAGATTGAAATCCGGGATAGTGACTGGAGACTGAAATCCTTTCCAGGAAAATGCTATTTTAACTACAGGAATCATAGTTTGAAGCAGAGTAATAAAAGTTATAATACAAAATCTAATGATTATAACAATGCCAAGGATTTATTTATTATCTTCAGTTTATAACATAAAAAAGTGACTTTAGTGACTCAAAATTTTCATATAGTAGTATGCCCTAAAGAAACGTTTTTTTTTTCTTCCCAAAAATAACAAGAAAAATGTCTTCCTATTTTGGCGATAGTACTTGAAACAAAACAATCCGCATAGAACAATAATATATTCAGAATACGAGTAAAAAATGTTTTTTATTAAGATTCTTATTGTGGTTTCAGGTCAAGTCGGCGCTGCTCTATGATGCCCTAAATTTATTCCTCACGGTATTTGGTGAACAGGACGCCAAAGAGGAATTGGTATTGACTCCAGTGAGCTATGAAGAATTCAATATTTCGTGGCATGGTCTCCGCATTTCCAACGCCATAAAGGAGGTAATCTACAATACACATGTGTTTAGTAGTTCACGATAAATGAAAGGTACTTGAATATAGAAATAAGAGAAGTGACTGCAACATAAACAGTATAAGAGGCAATTAGGCAATTAATGAGTATAATTTTGGCACAGCAATTTTATTTTAGCGAACTCAGTTAATAAATGTTAATTAGTATCTCAATTAAGAAAAAATTGTAGTTAAATACATTTCCTGTGAACGCCGCTTTGTTATTTATCGTAATTTCGATAATATATTTAATAGTGCATATACCCTTATAGGGTTTTTTGAATAAATTGTGATTCACCCTGTGTAAGCAGACAGGGTGAATCAAATTCAGTTTCATAGAAGTTTTTATTTTTGTATGTTTTGACCTGATCACACCTGATTTACAAATTTTCATTTATATCTCTTTCTAATGCCTTGACGGATTTGGACTATTCACATATTTATTCTGTGACCTTTTGGCCTATAAAAATGTTGTTTCTGTAAAAGCGGCAGGATTAAGGGCGAGACCAAGACGAACATATTACTTTACCATAAAACTTTACTATGGAAATCTAAGGTCGCGACAAAGTATGTTTTATTACTCCTCTCTGGTACCGAGCTGGTTGTCAAAACTAAATTTCTCCTTAAACAGCAGTAAAACGTGTTTGTTTCTATTTTAATGAATATTTGAACATCAGGATTACGCCCGGCTACACCCGGGACGGCCGTAAAGCAGCCTGGAAGACGCTGATAAATGGGGCGTAATATTTAGCAGATGTTGTTTCGCGAGCTAGGTGCTTGACGTCAAACGGTCAAGAAAGATGACGCTTTTCAAGATTTTTAAAATGTACCTAGGTGACATTTGTTTTTCATTTCAGTCTCAAATACGTTTATTAATTTACTATACAGATTGTAGAAACATATTTAGAATACAGTGTACTCAGATAAACGAAAGTGGAACTTTCACCATCATTTTTTGTCAACAAATTTATTCAGGAACATCCTGATTAATGTTCAATATCATTATAAAAGACCACTGTGTCTATGATTTTATTATAGGTTAAGTAGTTGTGACATTCACTACCAACAACCCTGTAGACAAAAATAGAAAGAGTAGTAAATATACCCATATTGTACATCTATCAGAAACGCCCCGATAACAGCTTAAATTCATATTTCGGCCAAATTGGTCAGCCAGACTAAATCAATCTCATTCGACTGCAACTCTATGCATACCCAACTGAATATATCCATACATTTGCCATCAAACATCAATGTGTCTCATCAAATTTTATGCATTATTAAACCAACTGACTGCCACAACGAAATAAATTTAAAAAAAATGGCAGTTTCGTTTAAGCGAACAATATGGATGTGGAGGCAGTAATCAATTTTTAATTTGGTTTCATTTTGAATGCCAACAGCGAGCTGAACAGAGAATATATTCAGTATCGTGCTCAATATAGTACCTACGCTGTAATTTGTTTTTTTGTTCCATTCTACGTATGCCGTTGTTAAAATTTCTTTTAAAAGAAAACTATGAGGATTTCTTTTTCTCAACTGAAATATATGTTATAAAAAAGTAAAAGACATTTATTGAAAGATAATTATTTTATAGCATTGAACAATAGACTCGTAACGTACTTTTTTTACAGAAAAAATTTTATTCTGGTGTTCTACTCCGACCCCTCACAGGACCAATCACAGAATTTACCAGCTGGGGGCAAAGACTAAACTGTGAACTTGAGGTGATAGAACTTACAAAGCAAAAATTCAGGACCATAGCGGTTTGGAATTCAGAGGCGGGTGATAAAGTTCACTTTGCCATATGTTCGGAATGTCGGCAAAAGCAAGTAAAGGAAGAAATCCAGGGCAAAAACTTCAGAGTAGTATCCAGGTACACAGGATGTTTCTTTAATATTGCACAAAACTTTAAATAACAAAAAAAAGTACATATGTTAAAATTATGTTTTTATTATCTTTTTAAACATAGAAGAATGCAATTTATGGTGTTGCATTATGTTATCCTACAGCGATATTTTTAGTCGTCTGCGATTCTCGAAAGGCGGTTGAAAATCGTAATTAATATTATAATTATTTTTTCATTGAATCTTTCTACGGATCTACAAATTTGCAATTCAGGTCATTAAAAATTAGGCTCACTTAGGAACTCTTGTGTTTTTTTTGCATTTTTATCACCAAAATGTTTCTTTTTCTAGTTAAAAAAATAAAATATATGCACATTACAAATAAATAAACATTAAAAACAGTTAGTATACAAATTAGTTTTTGTTTTACATTGATATGCACTTCAGTATCTAATTTTACACCATTCTTTTCTTTTTCTAAAGGATGTTTTCGCGTATAACTTACGATCTTAAAAATGATAAACTACATAAATAGTAAAATATACCGCGTGCACCTATTTTATGGCTTGCTAAGAGCAATGCATTAGCAGCTAGTTGTATTTATGCTTATATGTTATCACCGTCTTGAAATTGGAAGTTTTGAAAAACTGAAAATGGTCATCCTCAAACAATTAGGTATTCCTCAAATGGTAGAACAGATGTTGAGTGAAGTCGAAGAAGAATTCTATATATAAGTATAAGTACTAAAAAATGAAACATTTAGTGGAAAACTGTAAAAAAGAGTTTCTAAGTGGGACAAGTTTTTAAAAGGCATTTTTTTTAATTGCATATTCTCAGTACTTAAAAAGGTACAATAAAGGAAAATAATTAAGTACAATTTTCATTCCCTTTCATCATGTAACTCTGATGGCAGATATTTTTTGAAAATAAGTTTATAGAAATGGCCCTCTGCTATTTTGTTATATCTCAGGAATACATAAATGAATTTGAATGAACAGATTTTAACTGAAGATAAGTGTTTCAACTGTAAAATAGATATAACTACCTCATTTTTTTAGATTAGGACCCCCATATCTGATGAAGAGACCCAACCCCGAGGGTAATCTTATGGGTAATGACCGTTTTGAGGGATACGCAATGGATCTGATGAAGGAAATATGCAAACCTGAAAATTTGAATTGCAGCTATACATTTCGCTTGGTGGACGATGGTCATTATGGAAACCGAGATTCCAAGACGAAAAAGTGGAACGGTCTTATCAAAGAAGTATTGGAACTGGTAAAAAACGTGTTACGTAAAACTATGCTAACATATATAAATATTTGACTTAAAATTCTATAAGTTTACTGTTTCAAGAGCTATGACATCACATGACACATTATAGGAAAGTCATCATTTTTATTAATGTACTGAAAAATTATAAACATCAAGTCTGTACTGATTTTAGCAGCGTTGCTGTGGAAATAGTTATTTGTTTAACTAGGCAGTAAAGTACAAGATTTAATGACGCGGCTGGGTGTTTAATAGACGAGGCGCTGCCGTGTCTATTAAAACAGCTAAGGCATTAAGTCTACTTTACTGCCAAATTACTTTCCAAACTACTATAATTACTAAAAGAATAAATTTTTTCTTCAAGCGTATAATAATACTTATATATAGTGCAACACCTCCTTTAGAAGCAGCCTATTGTTTAACTAGTACAAATATTTTTCATTTTTTAACTAGTAAAAAAATGTAACAATGTGTAGGTAAGTATCCTAGCAACGAATTAAAGATTCAAGAAGCTTTGACGTTTCATTAAGTGTCAGTTGAAATTTGATGTCGCGTCGGGTCGTTTTTAAAATGTCTGAAGAAATGCAATGAACACCACCAGAATTACTGGAAATTGAAATACATCAGTGGCAACACTTATACCAACAAAGTCGAGAAAAATTTATGAAAATGTTTACGATAAATTCATAAATTGGGCAAAAGAAAATAATGCACATATTTATTCAGAAAATGTGATGATAGCATATTTTACAAGATTATCCAGAACACTGAAAAGTTCAACTTTATGGGCGCAATATTCAATGGTAAAATCTAAATTAAACATAGAACACAATGTAAATATTGAGAAATATTCAAAATTAATTACATTTTTGAAACGACAAGGTGAAAATTATAACCCAAAAAAGTCGAAAGTTTTGTCTAAAAAAGAATTTGACGAATTCCTGAATAAAGCACCTGATGAAAAATATTTAGCAACCAAGGTATGTACTTTTTAAATTATAGGTACTTAGATATATATTTAACCTTTTTATATTTGTAATACAAAATTTTGTTATAATTTGTAAACTTCAAGTTATTTTATAGTATCCATTACGAGAATAAAAAACAGTTTTCGGAAATAAAGATAGCTCATTGGAAGAATGTTGTAAAAACTCATAAATATAGATGTCTTAAAATTACGTCATGTTTTAGAATTTCCTTGCATTTTCCAACTTTTTTTATTGTTACAAAATTAATAATTCTATATTTTTTAGGTTGCACTAATATTTGGAGTCACAGGAGCTTGTAGATGCGATGAACTCATTCAAGTAAAAGTTAATGATGTAAAAGATTTGGGAAATATAATATTAGTAAATATTCCCAATACAAAAACTAAAAAACATCGTTCATTTACCATAATTGGAGAGTTTTATTTAAATTTATACAGAAAATATGCTACTCTTCGGCCAAAAGACATAACTTTTGATAGATTTTTTATTAAATATCAAAATGGCCATTGTCATCGTGTTGTAATGGGCATACATAAAATTTCAAAAGTGCCAAAAGATGTTGCATCATTTTTAAGGTTACATTGATACATTGCATAAGGATACATTGAAGATTCTGTAAACAATAAGAAACAGATAGCGATGAAAATATTAAACCCATTAGAGTATAATGAACCAAGTACATCAAGCGAAACTGTAAATATTGATCCTGAAAATAATTTAATCGAAGACTTTTCTGTTAATAATGGTACAATTGTTAACATTGAAACTGAGAAGCTTATTACAAGTAACGTATTCAACGACAGAACTGTAAACTTTGAAAAAAAGACAGCCAGCAGCGCTTTAAATATCAACAACTGTACCATACAAAATTGCACATTTAATATTCATGTTAATAAATAAAGTTTGATGATAGACATGTAGGTAATTTAGATGTTTATTCGTTTAATTCAAATTAAAGAAAAATAATTGTTACATTTGTTTTTTTATTCATGAATAAAGTGGTTAAAACTGTCATGTTTAATTAATCAATAAAATGTATAAAATGTATAAAATAAATAGTATTACCTACCTACTGATTTTATTTTGTGATGAGATTGAACATCGCGTTATCCGCTATAAATTTTCAAAATTAGTAATTTTTTATATTCACGCTTGAAGAAAAAATAGTATATGTCACTCGGAGTGGAAGGCTCATTATGTGTTTTGCCCAATTTGCTCAGCCTCGGCTAACGCCTCGGCGAGCAAACTTTTGGGCTCAACACATAGTGATCGCCTTCTACTCCTAGTAACATAATATACTAATTAGTTATTAATTTAGCGGCAGTAAAAACGATTCTAATGCCTAGGCAGTAAATGTGACACTTTAGTGTCTGACAGCTGTCATTAAAACTACGCCTTTAATGTCGATTGGCGAAAAACATAATTTCAATATTTGAATCTATTGCTGACATGTTTTAAAAAATATATTAGAAAATATTTATTTAAAAAATGAGTACCAGCGAAAATGTAGATATGATTCTTATTTTGGGGGAAGCTCAGAAGATTCGAAATTAGCAATACAGCTTTATAGAAATGAACGATTTTTGTCAATAATGAGTATAAGCACTGAAAGTAACTTGTTTTTCAGTAACAGTATTTTATTTATTTTGAATGGAACGAAACTTTTAGTTTTCGAAATGACACGCTATCGCTTGACCTCTAAGCTTACAAAATTGATAGGAACGCCCAAATCACAGTAGGCCGCCATGAATAATAAAGCACGAAAACAAACAATTTCGTATCCTTCGAGAACGTAATTGATTTGAGAGCAACTCTGGGGAAATCAGAACGAAAAAATTCAAATTATCCTCGCCGTTGCACGGACCCACCAGAAAAATAAAACGTTAGAACGCGGTTAACTATTAATTTAAATGCTAACTAGTTCCGGCTGGCTGTTTGTTTTTACGAAATGTTCAAAGCTTATCTGAGAAAATGCAAATTCAAATGAAATTTGAAGTGCGAAGTTGTATACAAAAAAAATGTAACAACTTTCGTAGGCCAAAATGATGAATATTTCTCAAGCGTTTAACCGACCTGTCATTGTCCCCAAATTTACTAAAATTATTCATATTAAACTCAGCAAAATAATTAAGGGAGTAGAAAAATTTTCAAATTTTTTTTAGTGATTTTTGGAAACCGGTGACTTCGTGAATGGTCGTACAAGAAAAAAAAGAAAGTTAGTTATTCAATCGCATTGTAAGTTTATTAAACAAATAAAATGTAAGTAATATTTTTTCTTTGAAATATAATTTTAAATCAAATAGATTTATAAAATTTTCGAAATATTCATTGACGTTGATATTCTGTACTCCGTCACCGGTTGACATAATAAAAAAAAACTCAACAATAAAAAGTATATTTTAGACTGCACTTTAATTATTAAAAATTATGGATTTACAATTTTTTCCCCGAAATAATCCATCCATCTATAAATTTCAACGGCACTGACTAAAAAGAAAGTATTTAAATCCTTTTTTTAGTCGGTAATGACAGGAAATTCTTATAAAATTCGTCCACATTCGCTTCTGCTATAACAAATCAGCAGGGGCTAAATTGCCTTTTTTCGGATTTAATCCTTGCCGTAGTCACAAAAAGCTTATATATAGGATACATTCACTGCGAGTGCAAATATGCCTTTCAATATTTAATAATGAATAGGTCTCTGCACACGCTTTTTTCTGTTTATATAAATATATTACGAGCCGTGCGACGCACAAAAATTTTTTTACATAAAGCGAACAGATGTAAAGTCGGCAGCGTTGTACCATGTATTATTCATATTTAGTTATAACATATAAATAAAAACGCTGATGATAGTAATTGATAGAATTCGAATGAAAAAAGTCGTTGTGTTTAGGGTGTTTTCAAGTTTAGAGAGGATATTCGAAAAGTAAATAAATTGAGATCAGAAAACTATTAGCGGACACATTTTTTGTAAATAGATTGTTTTTAATACCTATTGCCACAATAATAAGGAGAAACTTTTTTGTAACCACTGACTCCATTGATAGCTCGACTGGATATAAACACATAAACACGTGAAGTTAACACACAACAGAACTAATGACCTAAAACTAAACTAGTATAGTTTTCTGTTTACTACATTATAGCGAACGCCTCCCTATCTAAGGCCACAATTACATCTTTTCACACGTATTACAGTTTCAAAGGCTTCGGTTAATAAAATTGCTTATTTTTTCTATTACCAATCTGCAAGTTTGTGAACACCCTGTACTTTCCCTGACACTTTTACAAACAGCACACGATGTATCTACATAACATTAACGTCTGCAAAGTTTTTAGTGAATGCACTTATTGCGAGAAATTTAACTTTTAAAGCATCATCAGAAGTTTGCGAAATTCCCCAATAATATCGCGCAGAGAGTTTCATTAAGCTTTGAGTTTACTGCTAAGGAGTCGCGTTGCTGTCATTTATTTGCAGCTTAAACACGTCCATGCACTATGTCTTCCGAAAATTAAATATTCTTGGCTCTTAAATTAAATATGTCTTGCATAAAAGAGCAAAAAATTGAGAATTAGTTCTGTCGCCAGATTTATGAAATGGTAAATTTTTCATTTTTGTGACATGCTAAAATTAAATTCTGAACACTTTTTTCATAGGGCAACTGTGAAATTAAGATGTTCCAGAGGAATATTCTATAAATTTCAGAGACAATAGGAGATTAAAAAATATTTTTTTCTTTAAACTAGGTACGGTTCAAGTTAATATTGAAATTTGACAGGCATTTTTTAGCAGTTCCTATAAAGTCTGGTGTAATTATTTTTCAAATAAGGGTGTTATACTGCAAACTAGGAATATTTTAGATCATAACTTTTTTGGATTTTGGGATGGAGAAGAATTACGAGAAATCTTCAAATTTTTCATATTCCCTTGCCTCTGGAGTTTATAGTACTTACATTTTTGAAGCACTGCATAATAACCTCAGGAATTATTGTAGTTTTACTGGCGCATTCGCCATTTTATCAAAAATTTCAATAATGGCGCTACTGTGAAAACTTGCAAGTTTAGCTACACTGTTGCAAAAACATATTTTCATTACACTTTTAAGAGACAAATATACTATTTTTCTCACGTTTGAAATCGGTACAGAAGTATTTCATTCAATATAAGAACAATTTGCTGACAGTGTATTTAATATTTACCATTAACTGGCCATTTTCTTACAGAAAGCTGACTTGGCGGTTTGTGATTTGACAATAACATACGAAAGAAGAACAGCAGTGGATTTTACATTGCCTTTTATGACATTAGGTAACATATTTCTTTTATTTCCTCCATGTATACAGATACAAATTGGTTTTGAATCAAGAATAAGTTTATTTACATGATATAGTTCTTTGGGATTTGTGGATATGGTAGAATTAACCTTTTTTCGGAAAATTTGTTGAAGTTTTAACAATATATTTAGTACTTTTTAACGCCAAAATAAAATACGAACCCCACTCTGTATGTATCTGTCCTTGGACACTTTCTTTCCCGTATATTATATTGTATTGTAAAAAGAATTAATTGTCCTAAACACAAATTTCAAAGGAAGTATTACGATTAAGGAAACAACTACTACTTTGTATAAACTAAAGATTTCTCAACTTTTTGGCAAGATTTAAATCAAGACAAGCAAATACACTTTACTTTCCAGATTCTTTTAAAATTGTAAATACGATACTGACCACGATAAATAACTGTAAAATAATTATTTATCGGCTTAAATTTGTGTCCAAAATTATTCTTAAACGTCTCTAATTTTATCACAATAACAAGAAACTATATTTAAGCAAATAAATGTAGTACTCTTTTGGAGAATGGACGAGCTCGATAAAAAGCTTTAATTAAAATGAAAAAAATTACGCCCAGTGGAAACATTTCAGTGACTTTAATGCGACGATATAAAACCCTAATCGGCCGGCGAAATGGAGAAAGAAAGTGAAAATAAACAGAAGAGAAAGCAAATAGATCAATATCAGAAATTACTATCCTCCTTTATTACCTTAAATTTAGAGACATTGAACTCTGAGCAAATCTAAACAGTAAAAATAGAATTAAGCCTTATTTATTTATTAAGCTTGTTTGAGAAGTTCTAGAAAATGTTGACATCTTGTTTCAGATAGCAGTACCTGGATTATGATATTTAATGTCTCTATTAGCAGAATTCTTTGGCATATAACATTTTAGTTTAAATTAAATTAATTTCAATTAGTTCTAACATTTTCGTAAATACTCACAAAGTCAAATTATTCAAGATATTTTCATTAAATAAATTCAATGTATTCTAAGCGTTTTGAAGTTTCTTGAGGTAATTTGCAATACTTCGAAGAGTTTGCAGTACTTCAGATTGACTTAAAATGACATAGAATTCAAAACTAGTTCAATTCATTTTTTATATTTTTTTGTGCATAAAAACCATTGCAAATATGTAAAAATCATATGTGTATTTCCACAGTTTTTATTAGTGTAATACTAAAAATTAAAAAATAAAAATCATTAAAAGGACGACACTTAAATAATAGTAGTACCTATTTACTTTTTTGAACGTTTTGAATTTCTGAAAGTTATATTTTCCTAAAATAAAATACAATATAAAATGTAATTATAACATAACTATACAGTACTATATCAAGTATTGGTGACAATTTCCCTTTTTTAATTAATTACTAAATTGCTGCTTTTTTCATTCCTCTTCCAAAAGAATAAAATCCTGCACCGCGTTCATCTGTAGAGTCCTTAAGCGATATGTAACTCGTTTTATCTAGATAATAAATAATTTTTAACTGGCTCAACGTTATCTCTAACGAGCCGGGAAATAATTTCCAGTACTGCAAGAACATGTTTCGTTTCAGGCATTAGTATTCTGCACGCGAAGGCAGTCAAGGAGCCGCCCGAACTTTTATCTTTCAGCCATCCCTTATCTCTGGACGTCTGGCTGTACATGGCTACGTCCTACGTGGTTATTTCCATGATAATCTTCTTAGTCGCAAGGTAAATATTTTTGTAGGTGGAGATTAACACTGGATTTAGGGGGACCGGACAATTAGATACAATTCCGGTTGAACGGTTCCAGCATAACAAGTAGGCACTAATTTTACGTCTGATAATGTGAAGGGAATTCTGAACTGCTAAACGAGCAGCTTGTCTTACAGTGTATTTGGTATTACTGTGCTGGAACCTTAAGAATGTTTCAAACATTCTCAAGATTTCAGGATTATAATTAATTTTAAATTTCAGAAAAAATTCGTTTTTATAATCTCCAGATTAAAAATCAAAGTCAAAAGAAAATAATATAAGGAAGTCCTATGCTTAAAAGATGGTCCCAAATTGTAGTACCATAGTAACTTGCAAAATGGACAATAAACACAAACGCAATTCAAAGCGCCCAACTAAACAAATCCCTACTCTAAAAGAATCGATATAAAGTTATTTTCTAAGAATCTGTTTTTGCCTAACAGAAAATCTCTTGAAAGTAATACATATATAAATTACCAGGAAACAAAAATCTGTTTCTGTTTCCATTATGTTGTTTTTATTCGCAACGGGAACCTTCCGTAAGCCGTCGCTTTTAATTATATCTTCCTATTTTCTGGCTTTGTCGAGATAAAATATTTTTTTATCAAGCCACCTTGCTTGATGGCTTTATGTGACAAAGTAATTAAGATTATGACGTCTGATAAATAAGTTGTTCTCTGTCAAAATTTTAAAACACTAGGAAATATTACATTAATTCATTTCTGTCAGAATCACGATGAAAATGTAAGATCAATTGCCTTGTACATATCAAAACATTAATTAATTTTGTGAATTTTTTAATTAGATACTCATACCATTGATTTTATAAACTACAGTACTTAATAGTCATACAATATAAACAGTAGGTACATTTTAAAATTTACAGAATAGTATGACAATCTTCAGACATAAACATAAATAGACTAAAAGGTCCTTTATAATTGCATGTAATAAATATTAATAACATCCAAAGGATCTCAACAGACAACAGAAGACTACCTATTTTTTCTCAAAGATGAAATACCACACATCTATAGACAGTTTTGCAAAAATGTGATTATTAAACCTTAATTATACTAATTTTAGCATACTATTGTCACTTTTAAAATAATATATGTGTTCAAAGTTACTCATTTAACGATTTTTAAAACCACAAAGCCCAAAATTATAAGTAACTCACTAATCACTAATATGACCTTAACAAATTCCTTGAAATCTGTTACAAATACATAGGTACATTAAAAAATGTCATCATAATATCATCAATTCAATGTCAATCGGAGGCTTAAAAGTTTTCGCAGAAATGTTGAATAAGAATTGATTAATTATTTGATATCTGATATTAGTCGAGGAAATAAAGCATTAAAAACGGCCTTACTACCGAAAACTGTGCAGTAAGATGGATCGAGATGCAGTTTTTTACATTCGATTCGTTAGAGCGTCCAGAAAGTTTGTGACCCTATGTGATCAATGAGAAATGAAAATTGCATCGGTGCATAAGAAAAATGCATTTTTAAAATTGCATCTCGAAGAGTTAAAAAATGAAAAATTTATAACTTGGAAAATTGACGGAAATGAGTTCAGTTTTGCTACTCGGGGGTTTTTGGGGTCGCTGAACACGAATATCATGACGGCAACGGTCTCCGAGGTACCTAGTGCTCAGGGAGGCCGGTTTCCACGTCGTCTCCTGGAGTTTTGTAGAATTTTGTTATAAACTTAGTCGAAAAACGTTACCTCGGGGTTTTTGAGGTCGCTCAACACGAATATCACGACAGTAACGGTCCTCGAGGTACCTAGTACCCAGAATGGCTGGTTTATGTGACAACTATTTTATTCTTAATTATTATGTATTATAAAAATATATGTTTTCAAAAAAATATTATACTTAGATATCTTTCTATTTAATTTTTCTTATTTCACGTGTGCGCTATAACTTATATCCGTATATACTAGTATGTGTAAGAGTATATATTAGTATATATGTAAGAGTAAAACGTGGAAGCAGCGGCAGCGATCGCAGTCCTTACCTAAAATTTCATCAATGCTCCCAACTGTATTAAAAGCGCCAAATTTAAAAAAAATGTTTCGGATAATTTATTTAGATATTCGATAAAGCTTATGAAGATGACATCGGTACCTCGGAGATCATTACCGTTGCGATATTCGTGTTGAGCGGTCCTAAAAAACTCTGAGGTAACGAGTTTCGACTAAGTTTATAACGAATTTCCACAAAACTCCAGGAGATGACGTGGACCAGCCACCCTGGGCACTAGGTACCTCGGAGACCGTTGCCGTCATGATATTCGTGTTCAGCGGCCTCAAAAACCCCGAGATAATGAGTTTCGGCTATGTTTATAACGAATTTCCAGAAAACTTCAGGAGACGACGTGGAAACCGGCCACCCTGGGCACTAGGTACCTCGGAGATCGTTGCCGTCATGATATTCGTGTTCAGCGGCCTCAAAAACCCCGAGATAATGAGTTTCGGCTATGTTTATAACGAATTTCCAGAAAACTTCAGGAGACGACGTGGAAACCGGCCACCCTGGGCACTAGGTACCTCGGAGACCGTTGCCGTCATGATATTCGTGTTCAGCGGCCTCAAAAACCCCGAGATAATGAGTTTCGGCTATGTTTATAACGAATTTCCAGAAAACTTCAGGAGACGACGTGGAAACCGGCCACCCTGGGCACTAGGTACCTCGGAGACCGTTGTCGTCATAATATTCGTGTACAGCGACCCCAAAAACCCCCGAGTAGCAAAATCAAACCCATGTCCGTCAATAATTTCCGAGTTATAAATTTTTTCATATATTTAACTCTTCGATATGCAATTTTAAAAATGCATTTTTCTTATGCACCGATGCAATTTTCATTTCTCATTGGTCACATAGGGTCACAAACTTTCTGGACGCTCTAACGAATCGAATGCAAAAAAACTGCATCACGATCCATTTTACCGCACAGATTTCGAAGGTTTAGTGCTTCGTTTCCTCGACTATATCTAATTGCATGTCGCAGGTTGAATCCAAATGACTGGGAAAATCCACATCCGTGTGAACCCTGTCCGAGAGAGCTGGAGAATATTTGGAACATGAAAAATTGCCTCTGGTTGACCTTAGGATCCATTATGGCCCAAGGCTGTGACATCCTACCCAAGTAAGTTCCAAATAGCTTACTTAGATTTAGTATCCTCGGTTTGTGTTGCGGAAGTCCAACAGTTTGTCAACACACAGATGTTGCCTACGGTCGGAAATTGTTTCTCTAATCCACAGATTAAATATAACTATAAAAATTAAATCCACGTAACTGAAAGAAGTTTAAAATCAAATATTGTTAAGTAACAGAAGTAAGATTAATCAGGAATTATTTTTATCTCTAAACCAAAATAATGCAAGCTTTATTCTGTGCGACTTGATAGATTTTCTTAAAGCTAAATGACTGCACTTAACTTGACATTGAAATTACGATCTAGTATGTAATCAATAATTACTTTTATCATTAACAGTGTCAGTCACACTAATCTAAAATAAAAGGCTTTCCTTCTTAAATCTCTCTTCATGCGTTCCTACAAATTTTTGGTATATTTCTAATATACCAAATCTGCGATATTTCTTAATACTTTCTTCTGAAGAGTTAAAAATTATGCCGCTTCTAATAAACTTTTACTAAAGTGAATCTTTAACAATTTCATCTCTTCCATCAAGATTAAAAATAGACCTTCAAGTTGACAGGCAATATGTATACAATTGATCTGAAGCTGCCCGTACAGTCATTAAGATTAAAGCACGCGCTGCTTTGTATAGATCAGGACACCATAAATCTGGATAACACGAGATTATCCGGATCACATACTGGCCAGGACAAAACCGTCATAAATACTGACTAACAGAGGAAGTTCGATTGTACTGATGCGGTCGGGTCTCCTTAGAGGCTATGCAAATTTCATCAAAAAGGGTTAAATAGTGAACTTTATCTAATAAGTGCGGTAGTGTTGTCCGGACAGACCGGAATAGATTGCGGGGTCCCTAGCAAATTCTTCCTTCGGCAGACTGACGTCAATACAAATTAATGGGGTACCCTTTTCAGGACTCAGGATTGCTTCCCCCTCCTTAGTTTTAGAAATTTAAGCGAAAATCGATGCTAAGAAGCACGCCTTTCGGGATAATTCGAAAGATATATCCCTATAATAGAAGTATCAGGTAACATATTTAAATTATTTTAACTTCAATTCGCCCACTCACAACTGTCATTTTGAAAGTGACTTTAACCAAACAGACAAATCAGCGAACCCTCCGTTATCGCGAATGTTAAATCTCTTTATATCTTTCGACGAGTTTTGTATCTCGAACAGCTCATCTACAAACTACTGCTTCTAGTAAATAAAGCAGCGAGTCGGCAGCTGTAAATTATTTATAGTTATCACGCTCGTTTCAATGGGGAATAAGAAAGGAGCGCAAAGAAAGCCGAAAAAGCTGTGTTGATTGCAGGAGTTCAATGAAGCCGGCCGTAATGCCTTCGATAAATCAGTTAATGCATCAGTTGAGAACAAAGTAATGGAGAAAATAGATGTCGGCTTAAGTAGGTGGAGATATTAGTTATATAGTAGAGCGGTTACGGGGAAATTTTGTCACGTTTGTCATGTTACACCAAGATTATTTTTCAGTAAAACAGAACTGGAAAAATATATTCTACGCGCTAAGAAGCTAAAAATATCTCATATTAATTTACTGTTACATACAGGGTGTCTATTAAGTACCTTGTACAAACTTTAAAGGGTGAATTTTTGAATCATATGAATATGGGTCCACATTCCGCAACGACTTGGTTCTTGAGATACAGAGCCTCCAAAAAAACGTTTTGTTTGGTATTTTGATTATATTTTTGTTCAATAACATGAGAAACTCAAATATTTATTTAGTTTAAATCAAAGATTTCAGTGCTTCAGAGATAACAGCGTTCACATGAGAAGATGAATATAATTTCGAGATAAATAGAACACTGAGATGTTTAAATGAGATATGCAATTAGGTGGCAAACATAGGTAAAAACTTGAATATTGTAGTTTTGGTTGCCTTGGACTTGGGTCTGTACTTTGGGCCTACGTTGAATGGTTAGAGATGGCTTCGTAGCTCCTATTGGAAAGTTGAGCAAAAATTTGAAATTCGGATCCTGGAATACGACAATATATTTATAGTCCATTGAAATGAAGGCTGAACCTCCATTTTTTCCTCTGTCGATCAAACCTGTGCGCAAATATGTTTTCGACCCTCAGGAATCCGAATCCGCAAAAATTTTTGACCTAGGTGGTCAGGAAAGGGGTCAAAAGATCAAAAAACCGTAAAAAATAAGGTTTTTCGCAAATATCTCGTAAACTACGGCAAGTAGCAAAAAAATAATTGCACCATCGTGTTCCCAGGGAAATTTTACATCGATTTTATGCTATTGCTTATTAAAATTAAATAAATTTATGTCAT